TAATCTGTATTTTGAGGTGTTGCTGTTTAGATTTTCTCTTGGGTTGTTTTCTGTCAACTAATTCAGATCAGTTAATAGATAAATTTAAGTCTGACAAACTCTCTCTTAATAGTAAAAGATACAATGCAGACAAAGCAGTATAGTCTGTTACAGCAACAGATCAGAATTCTGGCTTCTGACCATATCCTTAGCTTTTTAGCACATTGCCTTGCATATAATAAATAGTCAAAATATATTTAACTGACTGATTTTTACCTTTTTCTATACAAATTAATTACAAATTCTAACATGAGTTATGAATGTGCAGTATTTGCTACACTGATACTCTGGACTCTGACAGGAGAGTACAAAAGCCCCTCAGGATATGGTCAGAAAAAGACACCCTATTGAGTAGCTGGGACTGCTGCTGCTTTCTTCATACTGCCTTGTAATAACTGGTGGTGGGAGGCAATCAAGTCATTTGTAAATCAGGGATAACAACATCTGTAATGTTTTTAAAATTGGAAGGTTAGCTAGCCAAGTGTATAGCCACGAGGCCAACTATATCTAGCATAGGTGACTATATTACTTTTATTGTAGTGTTGAATTACATTATTCCTTTGGTTCAGACCCTTTACATATCTCTTGTTCATGCCTGAAATGTAGAAAGATCTTGGAAGGGAATATATTCTAGGATCTCTTAATATTTAAATTTTTTAAAAGAACCACTTTCACGATACAAAAACAGTGCTAGCAACTTACTCAGTGCCAGGTACTGTTGTAAGCCCTTTTATATTTGTTGACCCATTTCATCCTCATAATTGTCTTCTAAAGTGAGCATTAGCATTTAACAGTTTTAGAGTTGACAAATAGATGCAGAGGTTAACTTGTGTACATAACTTGCTAGTAGCAAAGCCAGATTTGAACCCAAGCCATTTATGCCAGAATCTATGCTTCACTACTATTCTATATGGAGCCAGATTCAATAATCTTATTTTTTGGATTTGTACCTTTCCTTGAATGTTTAAGAAAAGCCTTCATTATTTTCCAATGCTGCCTTTGAAAGGTTTTTAAATTTTGCCTTTTACATTTGGGATTTAATTGTCTATCTGGAGTGAGTTAGAAATCTAATTTTATGGCGGGCACAGTGGCTCACGCCTGTAATCCCAGCACTTTGGGAGGCGGGCGGATCACCTGGGGTCAGAAGTTTGAGACCAGCCTGGCCAACATGGTAGTAGAAACCCCGTTTCTACTAAAAATATGAAAAAATTAGCCGGGTGTGGTGGCGCGCACCTGTAATCCCATCTACTCAGGAGACTGAGACAGGAGAATCACTTGAAGCCGGGAGGCAGAGGTTGCAGTGAGCTGAGGTCACGCCTCTGCACCCCAGCCTGGGCAACAAAAGCAAAACTCTGTCTCAAAAAAAAAAAAAAAAAAAGAGGAGAAATCTAATTTTATGTATGGACAGCCTAATAATATGCCAGCAAAGCCTGTTGAAAAAGGGAACCACTTTTCAGTTGGTGCCTTCATAACTCATAGCTAAGTGCTAAGTATTAATGCCTAGAGCATGGACTTCCCCTTTAAGGACTTTGTTCCTAACTCAGAATATATCGCAGCTGTTCTCCCCGTCCTGTGATTCTGTAATCCAATGTAACTTTCTCTTTCTTTCCTCCTTTGCTCTCCCTCTGCACCCCACTCTTCTTCGTCCTCTTCTCTGGTTTTTTCCTCTCTTCTTCCCTCTCTTTCTCTCCATCATTCTCCTCTCTTCCCCTCCCCTTATTTCCCATTTTCTCCCTCCTGTAAAAAAAATTGTTTCTGCCAGAATTGGGAGGAGTTCCAGTAGTCCAGTGATTCATGGTTTCAGTGTTAGACTACCTTACTGCTGAAGCTATGGGTTAGTTTTTTTTAGAGGCTGAAGACCTTGGGTTCTATCAGCTATACTCTTGCAGGCATGTTGATGATTCTGAATAGGAGCCAGGACATACTATGGCTCCAAACAGCCCAAGTAGGACAGAAGTCAGATTATAGACAGCCTAGTTTATCTCTTCAGTTACTACATAAGGAAATAAAATCACATCTGAAATGTGTTCACTTGTAAACATGGGGATACATTCTGAGGAATGCAGTTAGGGAGTTTTGTCAAAGTGCGAACATCAATGAGTGTGCTTACATAAACCTAGATGGTATAACGCCTAGGCTATGTGGTATAGCCTATTGCTTCTAGGTTACAAACCGGTACAGCAGGTTACTGTACTGAATACTGTAGGCAGTGTACCACAGTGGTGCTTGTGTATCTAAACATAGCTAAACAGAAAAGGTACAGCAAAAATCTGGTATTATAGTCTTATGGAACCACTGTTGTATATGCAGTCCATCATTGACTGAAATGTCATAATGCAGCATGTGACTATATATTGAAAGTTTAGTGTAGAGATTTTTTTTTTTTTTCCATTTTAGAGATATAATCAAATACAATCATGGCTCATTGCAAACTCTGCCTCCCAGGTTCAAGCTATCCTCCCACCTCAGCCTCCTGAGCAGCTGGGACTCCAGGCATGTGCCACCATGCCCAGCTAATTTTTAAATTTTTTGTAGATACGGGATTTCGCCATGTTACCCAGGCTGTTCTCAAACTCCTGGGCTCAAGCGATCCTCCCACCTTGGCCTCCCAAAGTGCTGAGATTACAGGTGTGAGCCACTGTGCCTGGCCATAGTTACACTTCTTTAGTCTACAGATTGCATGTAAATATTCATATTAATATCAGAGAACCTAAGAGAGGGATAACTAGAGCATGCAGAAGCTTAGAGTCTTGGATCTAGTGACATTCTTATGTTTGCTTTCCTTTATATTGTGGTATATTTTGAGCTTAATTATTAAACATAAATACTCATCAAGGTCAAGGATCTGAAATCTCATTCAGAAAGAAAATGTAACAATTAGAACCTTGTACAACCTAGAAGACATTGGGCACTGAATAAAGTGGATTTCCAGGAGCTCTTGTTGCAACTCTTGGCACCTTGGTTATCTGGAACTCTGGCTGCTCCTCCCTTCTGCTGTGTCTGGCCATTCCACTGCTTGTTAGCATGCACCAAAAGATGAATTGGGCAGAAGGAAGAAGTGACACAAAACAGTTATTGTGCTAGTAACTATTCCGGATATTCTCTTTTATTAACTAGTGGAGCATAACGTTATTTTGTCATTAATTTCAGTATTAAGTTCTCTTTTGATTTTATTTAAATGCACAGTATTTCTCATTTGTTCATCTAGAAAGAAAGTAATGTTTTTATTCACATCAGTGGTAATATATTGAATTCAGTAATGAACTAAATGTGTTTTATGGCTCAGAGATCAGCATAGCTACTGCTCAGATGGCAAACTGAGGTAATACATCCCAGATGAAAAAAAGAAGATGTTATCCCTAGGTTAGTTATTGGCATTTCATAAATATTTCAAACTTCCTGCATTATTGTCATGAAAATATGAGGAAGAAGGTAACCTTGTATATAGTTCTTTCTAGCAAATTGTTACCTGGTACAGATTAATATGGGAACCAAGAAAAGGATTGTAATTTGGCACTTGTACTGGGGATTTTTATTGCCCTAAGAAGGTTATTTTATTACTCATTACTCATTACTCTGTTACTGCTTAACAGAGAGCAGTTTTGTTTTGTTATTTTTAGAGACAGGGTCTCGCTTTGTCACTCAGACTGGAGTGCAGTGGTGCGATCATAGCTCACTGCAGCCTGGAACTACTGGGCTCAAGTGATCCTCCCACCTCAGCTTCCCTACTAGCTGGGACTACAGGTGTGTGCCACCATACCTGTCTAATTAAAAAAAAAAAAAAACTGGGTAGAGAGGGGGGTCTCACTGTGTTGCCCAGGATGGTCTTAAACTCTTGGCCTCAAGTGATCCTTCTCCTTTGGCCTCCCAAAGCACTGGCAGTATAGACATGAGCCACTGTGCCTGGCCAAGAACAGTTTCTAGAGCCTTCTTCTTTGGGCACTACTCAAATTTACCACCACAAGCCACACCCAGGGATGACCTACTAAAGGATTTTTTTCTCCTGAATTTGGGAAACTTGACCTCCCCAGATTTAACTAACTATGTTGAAGAGTGAACATTTATGCTTTTAAATCTGAGTATCTTGTCTTTTTCTTCAACTCCTTTGAATGATTCTCACCCACATGAAAGGGTTAAAGTATATGTGCTTTGGAGTCCCTTGCCTAACAAAAACCTTTTACTGAATAAAAGTCACAAAATTTGGGCTCCAAAAGACCTGACCTTTGTCCCTGACTTGTTAACTTAGCTCTTACTGTTCCTGTCCCTGAGTTTTCAAGTTTTCTTGCTCAGGGTTATCACCTTTGATTTGGTAACATTCATCTTTGCCACCTTCAGCAGTACCCTCCCATCTTGCCTCCAACCATCTCCAGCTGCCACTTAAGTGCCCTTAGAATATATAGAATGATCCATCACCCTTGACATGATTTGGATAAAAATCATTGTGATAAAAATTGCATTTTTATATCTAGCCAGTAACATACCTATTCTTGCCAACATTTTTAGGTGACCATAATCTATAAGTGTGGATCAGAATTACAGAGATGTCTGAACACCAAAAGGGTTTTCATATGATTATATTGGAATGGAGATACAACTTGTTTTACATAGATGTTCTTCTGAATAAAAATTATGTGTAAAGAAAGTGAATTACTTCATACTTTAAACCCACTAAGGGAGTGTTATTGTGTGAAGAAACACTGAAAAATCCTCTAGCAAAGGAAGAATCTGCCAGCTTATATCTTGTGCAGATCTTTTTTCATATATCTGTTTTGCTTAAAGTATACTTGTATGAGGACATTATACAAGAGGGGGACAGGGCTTGCATAGGACAAGGGGGAATTATAGGTCCGTTTATCTACTGAGATTTGAGAGTAGATACATTTACAATACATTTTGGCCCATTGATTTTGGAGACGTAGTCCTCTTGGGCTTCTAACATCTACCTCTTGTTTTTACACTAGATCGAACGGTTGGAAGTAAGCAGCCTTGCCCAAACGTCCAGTGCAGTGGCCTCCAGTACCGATGGCAGCATCCACACAGACTCTGTGGATGGAACACCAGACCCTCAGCGCACAAAGGCTGCCATTGCTCACCTGCAGCAGAAGATCCTGAAGCTCACAGAACAAATCAAGATTGCACAAACAGCCCGGGACGACAACGTTGCTGAATACTTGAAGCTTGCCAACAGCGCAGACAAACAGCAGGCTGCCCGCATCAAGCAGGTCTTTGAGAAGAAGAACCAGAAATCGGCCCAAACTATCCTCCAGCTGCAAAAGAAACTTGAGCACTACCACAGGAAGCTCAGAGAGGTGGAGCAGAATGGGATCCCCCGGCAGCCAAAGGATGTCTTCAGGGACATGCACCAGGGTCTGAAGGATGTGGGAGCAAAGGTGACTGGCTTCAGTGAAGGTGTGGTGGATAGTGTCAAAGGTGGGTTTTCCAGCTTCTCCCAAGCCACCCATTCAGCAGCAGGCGCTGTAGTCTCAAAGCCAAGAGAGATTGCCTCACTCATTCGGAACAAATTTGGCAGTGCAGACAACATCCCCAACCTAAAGGACTCTTTAGAGGAAGGGCAAGTGGATGATGCGGGGAAGGCTTTGGGAGTGATTTCGAACTTTCAGTCTAGCCCAAAATATGGTAGTGAAGAAGATTGTTCTAGTGCCACTTCAGGCTCAGTGGGAGCCAACAGCACCACAGGGGGCATCGCTGTAGGAGCATCCAGCTCCAAAACAAACACCCTGGACATGCAGAGCTCAGGATTTGATGCACTACTACATGAGATCCAGGAGATCCGGGAAACCCAGGCCAGACTAGAGGAATCCTTTGAGACTCTTAAGGAACATTATCAGAGGGACTATTCCTTAATAATGCAGACCCTACAGGAGGAGCGATATAGGTAAGTCACGTGGAATTAATATCTGAAATTATTTGTGTAGGGTTCCCCTCCCTTTAGATATGGGGAAATGACTTTTTAAAGTCTTTGTCTTTCTCTAGAGTGTCCAGAGCACTTTTGATATGTCATAAGACATCCACATGAGTTCCTGATGAAGCATTGCTGTAACTCTCCAGTCTTTCACGCCAGTTTAGAACTTTAAAATGAAGTCCAAGCTTTCTAAAGTATTTCACCTATTTATTTATAATTAACAAAACTACACAATCATTGCAGCCTGTAACTGTACTACATTAAATTCAAAAGATCTGTAATTCTTAGAACTGTGAAGATATCAGCCAAGCAAAATGTAGTGACTTCTATAGGTATTTGGCCTTAAACACACTTATCTGAGTAACTTGGTATAGAAAGATTAGACTGGAAACAAATCCAAATAAGAATGTTATCTTTATTATGAATTGACAAGTGTTTGAATGAGAGTGGACTTAAACATGAAATGGTTCTACAGGAGTTAGAAAATTCTCAAAGGGTTAAGTGCTTTGAATCATAGTCTCTGTTAAAGGTAGAAGCTGGTCTCGTTTTTGTGTTTCATATTACACGACATATTCTATTAGACCACTCTTGGCTATACTCTGAATATGTGTCCTTTCTCCTTGTTACCTTCACATGCAGAGAGAAATAATATTCTCGCCTGACCAACATGGAGAAACCCCATCTCTACTAAGAATACAAAATTATCCGAGCATGGTGGTGCATGCCTGTAATCCCAGCTACTCGGGACACTGAGGCAGGAGAATCGCTTGAACCCCGGGAGGTGAAGGTTGCAGTGAGCCGAGATCTCACCATTGCACTCCAGCCTGGGCAACAAAGAGCAAAACTCCGTCTCAAAAAAAATAAATAAAATAATCTATGGATAGATCCAAACTTTGTTAGCCAGAGACAGGCCACCTAGTGCTGCAAATTGAGGACTAGTCTTACAGGAGCTACAGGTCAAGTTAGGCCTTGAAGGACCTGGGTTCTGGCCCTGTCCCAATTATTAACTAGAGGAAATCCTCAGTATTTCTACTGTAATATCAGGAGTTGAACAGATAATCTTTTAATATCCCTTTCACCTTTTAAAAATAAGTGTTTTGGCCGGGCGCGGTGGCTCAAGCCTGTAATCCCAGCACTTTGGGAGGCCGAGACGGGCGGATCACGAGGTCAGGAGATCGAGACCATCCTGGCTAACACGGTGAAACCCCGTCTCTACTAAAAAATACAAAAAAACTAGCCAGGTGAGGTGGCGGGTGCCTGTAGTCCCAGCTACTCAGGAGGCTGAGGCAGGAGAATGGCCTGAACCCGGGAGGCGGAGCTTGCAGTGAGCTAAGATCCCGCCACTGCACTCCAGCCTGGGCGACAGAGCGAGACTCCGTCTCAAAAATAAATAAATAAATAAATAAATAAATAAGTGTTTTTAAAAGTTTGCTTTTATAAGGTAATCTTAGGGTCTGAAACAAATTGTTCACATCTATAAATTATCTCTAAGAAGAGTTACAGCAGCATGTTCTTTTCAGATGGTGAAAACGCTAATCAGTAATTCAGCCTGCCTCTTTTCTTACTCTTTTGTTCTTCAATTCTAACTTAAGACTTCAAGGGAGAAGACCAGAGAAGTGAATGTGGGAGGGAGTAATAAAGTTCTAAAAGCAAATACTGTACATTACTATTTTTATTTAAGTGTTTTATAAATTCTTTAGTATGGCAGGGCACAGCAGCTCATGCCTGTAATCCCAGCAGTTTGGGAGGCTGAGGAGGGTGGATCACCCAAGGTCAGAAACTCGATACCAGCCTGACCAACATGGAGAAACCTTGTCTCTACTAAAAATACAAAATTAGCTGGGCATGGTCGCGCATGCCTGTAATCCCAGCTACTCAGGAGGCTGAGACAGGAGAATCACTCGAACCCAGGAGGCGGAGGTTGCAGTGAGCCGAGATTGTGCCATCATACTCCAGCCTGGGCAACAAGCGTAAAACTCCGCGTCAAATAAAAATAAATTCTTTAGTATACTGAGAAGACAGTGTCTTATTCAATTAGTGATATAACAGATATTCAAATGGACTCAAAAAGTAAAACACTGGTTCTTTGTACCATATTAAACCTAACTCCCAAGTTCAAATTCCAGTTCTTCCACTTACTAACCTTGGAAACCTGGGCAAGGTTTCTTCAATTCTCTAAGTCTTGGTATACCCATCCATAACATAGAAATAGTAATCGTTCTTTATAAGATTATTGTGACATTAAAATGAAATTATTTGGTTAAAGCACATAGCTCAGTGCCTGGCCCCATAGTGCTCTACTGATGTTAGGGGGACAGCTGCTGTTAACCCCACTTAGAACACGAAGACATTCCACAGTCAGTTAAAAAATTTTTTAAAAACCACACAAAACTGCCTGCTTTGACTCCTCTGTTTTGTTTTTGTTTTAGATTGGTTTTGAGACAGGGTCTCAATTTATTGCCCATGCTGGAGTGCAGTGGCGCGATCTTGGCTCACTGCAGCCTCCACCTCCTGGGTTCAAGTGATCCTCCCATCTCAACCTCCTGAGTAGCTGGGACTACAGGTGTGAACCACCATGCTTGGCTCGTTTTTTAATTTTTTTGTAGAGACAAGGTCTCACTATATTGCCCAGGCTGGTCTTGAACTCCTGGGCTCCAGGATTCCAGTGATCTGCCCTCCTTGGCCTCCCAAAGTGCTGGGATTACAGGTATGAGTCACCATACCCCGCCAACTCCTCAATTTTGAGTGGATACCTTGCAGTTTTTAAATTGCCCCAGAGCTTAAAATTCATATAGAGCTTGTTATCACTTCATGTCAAGATGTAGAAAGTCAAGATACGAGAAAATCAGAAACAGGTCTCTCATAGTGCCACCTTTGAATCCATTTAGTGTAAGTCAGAGACATAATAGAACAGAACGTTAGCTGCTCATTAACACCTCATTAGAAGAATTAAATTCAAGCCACTTAGGAGGTAATGAGCTGTACATTTCTTTCATTGCACTTTGGATTCTTCCTAGTAGGTAAATGGCTAGTTTTATGGAATGAAGACAGAATAAAGAAAACTTGAATTTTCAAAAAGAGAGTTAAAACCAGGGGGCAAGGAGAAGACATAATATGTAATCTGACTTGTTTTGTTTTTCCATTTCAGCTTTAGAATGATTTTTCCTTAAAACATAATCTTGAAGAAAGAAATCCCTTTTTTTCCTCAAGAAAGGGAGTGGAAAATTCATAACTATTTTACTTTGTTTTTGTTGTTCCAATAATTCCCTGTATAAAGCAGATAGAGATTTCCCCTCCATTATATATGGCTTTATACAGTAAACATGTTCATCTAAATTTTGTTGATCTTTGAATGCTTTCACATAAATAAAATTTTTCTACAAATTGAAGTCTTTTTTTTTTTTTTTTTTTTTTTAAGAGTCAGGGTCTTGCTGGACAGGTGCGGTGGCTCACACCTGTAATCCCAGCACTTTGGGAGGCTAAGGTGGGTGGATCACGAGGTCAGAAGATCAAGACCATCCTGGCTAACACCGTGAAACCCCATCTCTACTAAAAATACAAAAAAAATTAGCCAGGCATGGTGGCATGCACCTGTAGTCCCAGCTACTGGGGAGGCTGAGACAGGAGAATTGCTTGAATCCAGGAGGTGGAGGTTGCAGTGAGCTGAGATAACACCACTGCACTCCATCCTGGGTGACAGAGTAAGACTCTGTCTCAAAAAAAAAAAAAAAAGAGGCCGGGCGCGGTGGCTCAAGCCTGTAATCCCAGCACTTTGGGAGGCCGAGACGGGCGGATCACCACGTCAGGAGATCGAGACCATCCTGGCTGACACGGTGAAACCCCGTCTCTACTAAAAAAATACAAAAAACTAGCCGGGCGAGGTGGTGGACGCCTGTAGTCCCAGCTACTTGGGAGGCTGAGGCAGAAGAATGGCGTGAACCCGGGAGGCGGAGCTTGCAGTGAGCTGAGATCCGGCCACTGCACTCCAGCCTGGGCAACAGAGCGAGACTCCGTCTCAAAAAAAAAAAAAAAAAAAAGGGTCAGGGTCTTGTTATGTTGCCCTGCTGGTCTTGAACTCCTGGGCTCAAGCAATACTTCCACCTCAGCCTCCTTAGTAGCTGGGACTGCAGGTGCATGCCACCATGCCTGGCTTTGAAATATATTTTCTTTCTTTCTTTCTTTCTTTTTGTTTTTGGAGACAGTTTCACTCTTGTTTCCCAGGCTGGAGTGCAGTGGTACGATCTTGCCTCGCTGCAACCTCCGCCTCCTGGATTCAAGCGATTCTCCTGCCTTAGCCTCCCCAGTAGCTGGGATTACAGGACAGGTGTCTGCCACCACACTCAACTAATTTTTTGTATTTTTAATAGAGGCGGGGGTTTCACCATGTTGGCCAGGCTGGTCTCAAACTCCTGACCTTGGGCGATCCACCCACTTCAGCCTACCAAAATGCTGGGATTACAGACATGAGCCACCACGCCCAGCCAGAAACCTATTTTAAGCACTGAAACTTTTCACATTTTAAGCATTTTGGGGAAATTTCTCTGCCTTCTTTTACAAAGTACACTGAATCCAACTTAATGGAAAGAGCTTAGATACAGTAGTATTCAGCTTAGAGTGATACTCTCAGGTTACTGAAGATGTCCATTTATGTGCCTCTACAGTAAATGGCCCTAGCCTTTTCTTAGTTCATCTGCTTTTTTTATAGTTTTTTCTCCTTTCCATTTCTTCTCCACACTGTTAGTGAGCTGCCGGCAGCAGCCTTTCTTTACTAATTCTACTTCTACTCTGTTGCAGGCTTTGCTTTTTGTGTAGGAAGAAAGTAGGCTGTGGATGGACTTCACAGATCCTTCTGTGACCAAGAACCAGTTAATGCATGCATGGATGCTCAAGATACATTTTTTTCTACCCTTTAGTTTATTTTACTAGTATCTGAGTTGATGAGAGGAAGGCCATGCACAGTGTTGCTGTTTGTT